TCCGGATATTATTTAAACACGTGCTGCATGCGCTCTGCTCACGTGATGCTCAGTGCTGTAAAGCAAAAGGCCTAATCATGTACATTTTGTACGTATTGCAGTGACAGCAGACATGGCCATTCGCATTGTTTCACTCATTATATGAAGAGAATAAAATATTGGTAATGTGGTAAATGATGCTGGGATCAATGACGTATAATAATAGTAAGTTTATGAACGTGAAATGTGAAAAAAAATGAAACTGAAAAAAAAGAAGCCCATGCAACGTGTCATGATCTGTAGAATGTTCCGACCAAGTTTGGAGAGGATCCGTTGAGCGGTGCGGAAACGTATAGCCGGCCGGACACACAAACACACACGTGACACAGACAGAAATTCCCCAATTTATAAATTGTATTTATACTTATAGTTATAGTTATAGTATTTAGTAAGATATATCATTATGATTATTCAGTATGAAAACTTGAGTTTAATTGAGATCACAATTTACAGTTAAATTTATATACAAATAGATACAAGTTCTGCTAATTAAATCGAATGTCGCCATTGCTGCAAAGTTATTACATAATATGTTGGTTATTCGGAATTTAAGACATAGCATTTAAAAAAAATAGATGTTTCCATAGACATTCAAACGCTCCTTGCATATTTTGTGTCCCCTACCGGTTTGATAAGTTCAACATAATTGCACATGTACATTCACAGTTGCAACACTTGATTTGATTAACTTGTGTTAATACTGTATCACCAAGTCATAGAATTGAAGACTACGTCTTCTATTGAATCAGGAAATAAGGAGGCACTTGAGCATTTACTGTAAGTTCTACGTATACCGTATAGTGATCAACCTAGTATTCATCACAACTCAAATAAACATGACATTAGATATAACTGTCAGGTTTTTATCCACTTGAAGTTGAAGATCGTGGACACTTTTGTGTAGAATTTAGACAATTTCACCTATTTTGTCTATTTGTACCTTTGGATATCCTTACTGGCACCACATCAGATTTGTAAATCAATTCAGTACGGCTATTTTTTTGTCAATTGGCAGCCAGCCTGACTTGTTACAGAGTGACAAGTTGTGAAATTGGACTTATCAAAGCTTCACTCTGACTTTCTAACCCACCACAAACACTGCCACTGATCAAACTTCACTGTTTTGTAAGAAAACGCAAACCAACCCTAACAATACAATAAATGATAAAATGATCAGCCTTGAATGCCGGACATAAACAATTGTGACCACTACTACACTCTACTCCAATCACTTACAAACCAAGTCACCCACTCACTACCATGAGGGCAAAACTGTCGATTTCAATTATGGTAGACCTGCTTATAATGGGTTAAGTAACAATAAGGCATACGTCTACTGGGTCACTGACGCCAATCAATGCACCTGGCCAACTGTGTGACTGTCCTCTACACTGTATACACTGCCTATAATAGCCTATGTGGCATTTCTCGTCACCGTGCGGCATGCACTACAAGTGCCTGTGCATCCGTTGTGCCCGCCTTGCCCTCCTTCGTCCGGTTGTCGTAGCGCTTTCCGATCACCATCAGCAGCATGAGGAAGGGAAGGTGTACAAGACTAAAACGGAACAGCTGCCGAGATGTCTTTGCATTGGGCCGCTGGTAGAAGTTCCACGCCAGGTAGGTGAGGTAGGCATTCAGCGGTAGCGAATCGACGGCAAACAGCCATGTCGTCACGCCGAGAACCGGAGCCAGGCTGCACACTCCGATCATGACGACACTGTAAACACACACCGGCACAGACTTCTAACACCCACCGTAAAACATTTCCCCCCCCCCAGAAGTTTCCCGAGATTTAATAGCTACACTTTCCATGACTGTGTGTTTTTGCCAACATACGTTCTTTCCATATCGTGTCCTCCCATAAACAGTTCGTAAACAATGCTTTGCCCCAAGAAAGTGTTAAGGTATGCGTTAGTGTTAGTGCACTTGATATATATAATATTACCTGCATCTGTGAAATAAACCCCTACAGATATTTTACCCATGGATTTAAAATGACAGATGATCGAGGATTTCGCTGCTGCATCTGTTACCTGTATCGTAGCGCGGTGGCACGACACAATGCTGGCTCAGTGACTGCCATCATGCGGTAGCCAGCTTTGGAGTACTGCTCCTTCAGGTTCCAGCTGAGCGCATTAAAGTGTGGAAACTGCCATGCGAATAGAACAGCACCCAGCACCAAGGCGCCTGCATCAGATGAGAAAAACAACCGAGTGATTACCTTCTCAAATCATATTACGGGCACACATGATCATATGTTGCTTGCATATTGTTAGTTAAAATAGGTTTCAATTATGCTACATAAAAAATGTCACTGTTCAATATTAATTATAAATATTTTTTTTCAACGTTTTAAAACTGCTGGCTATACCATTGCTTACAACGGTGGTGGCGCCACTACAAGCACATCCACTGACAAAGTTGCGCAACACAACTTTTCGGCTGCAGACTACAGACTTCGTATTTTAACTACTCTCGTAAAGATTTACATGTCAGGACTTCGCCATTAGCATTTAGCTGTGGAGATTAGAACCCTGCCCTACGCCTGTGTGTTACAGGAGCCAGACACAACATCACCATCAAGTTACTTCACATCCCACCTGGTGACTAAACAGTTAGTGTACAAGTAGCTTCCTAACCTGGATCAATGACTCCAGTGCAGGCTGTCCAGCCCATGACTGGAGGGATGCCACCGACTACTGACCCCACCCACGTGTTGTAGATGGACGCCCGCTTCATTGGTGTATAGACTAGCGTGTAGAGCACCAGGTTGACAGCACCAAGTGCGGCAGTCAACGGGTTGACATGATAGGCTAGGATCGACAAGCCTGTGATGGCCGAACTTGCAGCGAAGAGCACTCCGTGAAGTGGACTGCAGCAGAACATGCACACGTCCAAGGTCAAGTCACGGAACGTACAAGGTCAAGTCACGGAACGCACAAAGTCAAGTCACGGAACGCACAAGGTCAAGTCACGGAACGCACTGCAGTGACAGTGCTGCCAAGCCTTTGAATCCAACACACTATGAATGAATCCTAATGAAGCTATTTGCATGCTAGCAGATAACCTGGTAGCTCATCACATGCACTAATTTGCCCATAATAGGCCAGAAATAGCATTTCGTGCTTTCAATAGGGAATGTCGATAAGCTTGTTTTTGTTTAAAAAATATAATCAGATTCAGATAACACATTAAAATACTGATTAAACACTTCACTCGAAATATTTGCTTGTGTATATATTTCTGAATAATAATCATATTTGCTACTCTGTATTGTGATACGTATCATATCCGCCATCTAGTGCATAATGGGACCCCTACACATAACAGTTTTACATACCTGACAAGTCCCATGACTAATGGTCTCGCCTTGGTTCTGGCCATCTGGGAATCATAAGGAACCTCCAGAAACTGAATAGAAAAACAACTAATCAGTTTTGTCGGATAAGAGAATATATATACAGACAAATATGGATTACATGCATTGCATAGATGCCATCAATTCACGAGTAGAATATGCCGATCTTCCGTAGGGTTTGTCCAAATTTGTCAAATAGTGCTATAAATGTATGAAAATCACAATAACTTGCTCTTGATTAAAACTCTACATTAACAGAGAAACATAAAAATATTTACTTGGTTTATTGTGTTCGCAGCACATGATGTAAAACCAGTCCCACCACAAGCTAAAAGGAACGTGACCAAGTCAAATGCTCCTGGTGCCATGCCATAACCTGCTGCTGTTGTCATGACAACTAACACTGAAATATAGTTAAAAGAATATCTATATCATATAATAAGATATAATTCATTCATAGTGATAATTTAAACAGATCATAACATTACTATAAAAATTGTCTAATTATACCAAAGATGCCAACACATATTTGTAATTTGAAGCAATCTGTAGTTTCTGGCCATCAAATTAGTAGTTTGAGGGTCACGTAGTGACCTGAGTTTGCTAGGGGGGTTCGGCATGCCCCCCGGAAATTTTTTTAGATTCTGAGATGCAATTTCCTGCATTCTGAGGGTCAAAAATGACAATAAATTGACAAAAAATGACAATAAATTGACAAAAAATGACAATAATTGACTTTTTTTTTCTATCACAGTGAAATTCGTAGTTTGATACAAACTGGTCGTAGTGGTGCAAAAGGAATAGAAATTCGTGTAAAATACGGATAAATCGTAGTGGTTGTCATCTCTGTTATACCTATTACATCACTGTTATTAATAGATTGATAGCTGAAGAATATTATCTAAGGAACCATATTTGATATCATATGATGCGGGGTGCGGATAGGGGGAGGGGTCAGTATTGGAAGGGAGAGAGTTGGTGCATGCCCAACAATCAGCTGAGGCTTACTCGTGAGACGATGCTTTGACAGTCGTAGGTAGACTCCAGGCAGTTTCTTCAAATCTATCTTTAGTGCTCGCCATTCTAAGTCTCTCGGATGAACAGCATTCTGCAGCTTCAGTGGCTCCACCTGGCTGCCACCGACAACATCGACCAATTGCGCATCACGCTGCACATAGATGCTGAACTCTTGCTGGTCGCCAAACAACAGCTTGTTGGCCCTGCGCAGATGCAGCACCGGGCTCTCAAGATGACGGGTGGTCGCCGGGGGCAACGTCGCCGTCTCTGCCGATAAGTTGTCGTGTAAAAGTTCCGGATGCACGACAACCGTGCTGCCTTCTATATCATGATCGACGTCAGCTGATGATTGCGAGGCATCCTCGGCAACATTTACGGGTTTTGCTTTGGCCGCGTATGCAGCGCTGGCTCTGTGTAGCTGACGATACAAAGTAGCGGGGTCACTGTCAGAGAACTCTATACATTTCTTACTCTGATGATTACTAATCTCAGTAGGCTCAATTAGTATTTATATAAACTTAAAACAAAGTCGAATAATAAGAATATAAAAAATTATGTTCCTAATATATGTATATAACAGCATAATTTTCTTACTTCTTCAAGCTTGATAGTATATTTACAGTTGTTAGCAACAATAAATTTATTTGTGAATTTTCATGAGACCGAGTTCTAAAAAGAAGCCCTAACAATATAAAAGGATAGTATTTTTATAACCGTTAGTTAAAGCGTCTATTGCGAGAATTTTCCAGTGTTTTCCCCACTTTCATGATACCTACCGTTATTGCTTGAGTAACAGCAATTGTCTAGAGTAACGATAAAATGTCTTAGAACCTTCATATTCACCAAATCCAATGAAATCATGCACGATTACAATTTTGCGTTCTGTTTCTGTTTACCGTTGCCATCTCTCGAATTTTCTCGCGGTAGCGCGAGACATCTATCACGGTGCAGCAATGCATACCACGCACCGTAAAAATCAGGTTAGAGTGTAAACACAGACGTTCATACTAGCGTAACAGCAGTGTAGTACTAATGCCACGTAAAGTCTGTTATTAGAGAAGCTTGTGGATTGCCAGTCAGATAGTAACACGGGAATGACAATGACAGAAAGTGCTCTGAATTATTGACATAAAAACTCAATAATATTTACCAAACAGAATTGCACGCCCTTTTGTTTTAACTATGTTCGCTTGTTTGAGACGCCATTTGTGATTTTTGAGAGTCGTGACACGATAAAATTTATTGCTGGTATGATGTGGTTAAATCAATTTTTCTATGCTATAACTGCATAAAATCTTGGTGTTTTGAATGTTGGTATAATCAGTGATATATCCACTGTCAGGTGAGACTATATTCAGCTATATTTCGTTTTTCTGAGCCAAAAAACTCGCAATAATCACTTTAATGCAAAGCCGAGTGAGTACAAATGTACGTAACATAACAAGCTTACTACAATGATACTTACTTTAGTAGTTTGCGGCAAGAAGCAACATTTTCCTAGTCTGGCTTGTTTTACACACAGCTGGGCAATTGTGTGTGCCTTGAAAAGTACGTGAGGAGGCATAACAAATGATGTCCTGCCACCAAAGGCCACGTCCCCCGACCTATCCTACATCTTCGCTGTACCTGTCTGATGGCTGTGGTGCTATCATGAAAATCATAGTAACATATATATATACTATAGAATGATTATAATCAATGAATCATCTGTTAATGTGTTGGTGTCATTCAGTTTGAAAGGATAAATGCATATCAGAATAGAGGTACGTCTTTGAGTAGAGTTGTGAGCTGGATAGGATATGACGAAGCAGCACCAGCAGATAAACAGCTGTATTATCATTATGTATGTTAAAGTAAATATTTCCCATTTATAATTCAATTTTCACATTGTCTGTCATTGATTTGATACATAGTAAGTTCCAGGATAGCGGAGAAAGGTTTGTGTTTAGAATAAACCCAGTTTGGAAGTTCTAGTCTCTGAAAACGCACCAGCAAACCGCCATGAGTTATTCACTCAGGGGTTCCTCCAAAGAAAAGAATAGGCTCGTGTTGTAACCCTATCCTGTGTTTGGGTTACATTATTGTATCTATATAGCCCGCGTAGTTGCCGCAGGCCGTAGGCGTAGAGTTGTACGCAGGCTAGGCCTACAGTACTACTACTACTACTAGTACTACTAGTACTAGAGCTAAGGCTTGCCGATAGTTACACTACAGTCTCAGTAACGCTGATAGGGTCTATGTCCCCCAGGGTATACTCCCGGAATGTACCCTGGATACGGTCCGCGGTATACCGGAACGTACCCTGGTAACTATGTGATATGCCGGACCGTACCTCGCTTATTCCCTACCGTACCCTGACTGTCCCTGTTCCGCCCAGCTACTGATGTCGCAAAATTTGAAATATACATACAGACCTGTATGATATATTTATAAAGTTGGATTGGAGTATGAAACTGTGAAACCAAGAAGAAATTTCAACCTATATACACTGATGCGCGCAATCCTTTTGCAAATATCGCGATGATCGGGAATGCGTTTTCCTTTCGCAATGTTTACGACATTTTCGCGCGAGATTTTTGAAAGATGGCTCCAATTAAGTGTTGTGGTGGAACAGGAAAATTTGTATGATTATCTTAATGGATTGGAAACGTATAGACTCGCTGACACTTGTAGAAAGGGTCGGGAGGTGAAACGTAACAGGGTAAGGAATACGAATATTTTGCGAGAACGGACCGGAAACAAGGAACGGGAGCATAAAGCAGCGCGTTTCCTGCCGACAAGCGGTGTGTAGAGTATTACGACATCAGCTGAAAGTCAGGGTACGATTTGAAGTAGGCGAGGTACGGTCCAGCGTATTAGATAGTTACCACGGTACGTTCCGGTATACCGGACCGTAAGTAACCAGGGTACGTTCCGGCAGTAACCTGAGGCGTGTTCAGGAGAGCGAACGCTCGAATCGAACGCTCGCTGCACGAACGCAGCGCCTCTTGAACGAAACACGAGCGCTCGCTGTGCGCTTGCTTGATCAAAGATGGCGGCCCCCATGAAGGGTTACTCAGCAGAGATTTTAATGACTTCGAACAAGTACTGTTAAACGAATTAGCAGATGAAATTGATACGAATTGAATTTAGAAGTAAATAAATGAATGAAAAATGAAATGAAGTTGAAATAGATTGCAAATTGACGTCAGAAATGTTAGATTCGCATTCGCCAGATTTCCCGTCGCCATCTTGTAAACAACTCGCGCGCTGAGCGAACAGCCTTTCAAACTTGCACGCAAGCGCTCGCGAGCGCTCGCGAGCGCAGTGTCGTTCAGAAGGCGAGCGCTCGCGAGCGCTCGCGAGCGTTCGGTCTCCTGAACACGCCTCAGGGGGACATAGTCATAGACCCTATCAGCCTCAGTAACCCAACCAGGCTGTGTCAGTGTGTGAATAACGTCAATATAGGTATTCTAACCCTAGCAATACCGTTTCTTGGAGATAGAGTCACTGTTACTGTTACTGACACTGTTACTAGTGTTAGTGTTACTGTTAACCCGACCAGGCTGTGTGACTAACGTCAATAGGTATTCTAACCCTAGCAATACCGTTTCTTGGAGCTATGTTACTGTTACTGTTACTGACTAATACTGTTACTGTTACTGTTAGTGTCACTGGTAGTGGTACTGGTAGTGTTAGTGTTAGTGTTACCGACGCGACTGTTTTAGCGTTAGTGACTTCGCCAAGTAATTTCAGTTAGGCCCTATAAAATCATTGCCGGGAACATGCGCACGAACACAAAATGGATTTAGAAATATAAATACATTTTAACAAGTTAACACTAACCATCCCAGCGTAAATAACTAAGTAACTAAGTACTGTCAGTGTCAGCGAATGACAGCCTGCACTTTATGATAACAAGAGAACAGTCTTTAGTGGGTTCACATACTGTAATGACGTAGACCTCGAATCTGATGACGTTCCCCACATCCCAGTGTCGCGGGTAACTGTAGTTTGAAATGGTAAACAAATTCTGTGACTGTGTTACTGTACTTATCCTAGTGTTACTGTCTATCCTCATTTGGGTTCAAGGATAGAGAACATGGGTCCCAATAAAACCAATGTTATTTACATCAATATAATATTATATCAATATAATAGGTTAGGGTTATGGTTAGGCCTTAGGGTTAGGGTTAGGGTTAGAATTAAGGTTAGGGTTAGGGTTAGGCACATTGGTTTTATTGGAACCCATGTTCTCTATCCTTGGGCCCTAATTTGGATCTCATATCTTTTCCTGCATTGTCGTATTTTATTCCCGTACAATCTTTTCACAAAAATGTTACAACTTCAAGTAGTTCAAAGTAAACTTGCACCATCAATCATCATAGCTCTTAGCTCTAGTACTAGAGCTACATAGCTCTAGTAGTAGTACTATATGAAAGTGTCATAGCCCGCGTACAGTTGCCACTGGCCACTGTTGCCAGCGGCAACTGTACGCGGGCTATAGTACTAGAGCTACAATCATCATCATCATCACCATCAATCATCATCATTGCGCCGATTTTGTGGCATCAAATTGTAGACCAGTTTATTTACTAACACTGTATTACTGGTCAACCGTTTGCCTAGACATGACAACCTTAGCACAACCAACAATTTGCTGAACATGGGGATTCCTGGCATTGTACCAGCTCGATTCCTGACACTGATTGCACACCTTGTCATTACGTGGATAATTTTCTGGTCAAGGGTGAGTATAATCACAGAATTGTGTATGTGGCATGACATATCTCGTCTTAAAAGATTTCACATTATATGATTGTTATATCAGGACGGTAAATTGTCTGCTAATAATTAATTCGCATGGGAGAGGTTGTTCAGTCATGTAAAATTATGTTATTAAAAACTACCCAAATCATATGAGACTGTGGTCGTTATATAGACATGGCGGTGTTTTGCAGGGTGATAATATTCTAGCATGCTTGCCACAGTCTTACAGCCAAGATGAGTACAATCGCAAAGACATGCAGTAAGTTTTGTAAATTTTCTCATTTTTATTTACAATTACTATTATAGCAACAACAGTCAGTTACAACTTGAACGGAACAATATGGTGCTCAGGGGTAGAAATTAACTTGTAAACAGGGGAGTCCAACGGACTCCCTGCCCTAAAAAAAGAGGGAGTCCGCAGCAAAATAAGGATCGAGTCCGCAGTCTGAAGTTCAAAATTAAAGATATTAACAATAACGCACATGCTTATTTGGAAGATCATGCGGTTGCACGTCTGCCAAATTTTCTTTGGACATTTGCTGAAAAAATACGGTAATTCCGCGAGGCCATGCTCTGGAACGAACTAGTTAGTATAGTAGAATTTTGTAGCACCAGAGGCCAATTCCATCTAATATACACTGTGTTCCTAGATGATGTTATTGTTGTATTGATGTTGAATGATAACTTGTGATGTAATGTTTCAGACTCGTCGTTGGACTGTCAGTTTCTTTAGGTCTCATTGCAGTGGAACTCGTTGGATTCTTCACAGGGATTTCCATGTTCATGCCAACTGTTGCTCTCGTCTGTATCCTTATACAACCTCTGTTAGTCGATACCCCTAGAGAGCGGACACCTTACTATAAAAAATACTTGGTGTTTCCTTTAGTTTAAGTGGCGGTTATACATTGAAACTACATGTATAAAGCTGACACCTGTCTATAAAGAACATTTTTTGGGCTTCCCTTGAGTGGCAGTTACTGAGTGAAAGTACACATATAGAATGATCACTTGTTTATAAAGAACACCTTTCACATTTTTGCTGAGTGTCACTTTTTACAGGCTTGAATGTGTCTATACTAGCAATGAACTGCAGTTATTCATGCCCCGCACTTTCATTACAAAACCACTAATAGCAACATGCTGTTGAACTAGTAGATGCAACCTGTCCTCTGGTTTATCATTGTGTGGAAATATTCAGTGTATGGATCTTCTGTATTGTAGAGTTAGAATATTTTGACACTCCTGAATCTCAAGCCCAGTTACTAGATAAACAGCAAATGGTTGAGAGTGTCATTCTTTAAATATTAAATTTAGTTTTTTTACTCTAAAATCTACTCATAATTAAATCTAGCTGTTTTACACTTGTTTCACGTTCAAAGTCCTTAGTCGTTGTTCAATTTTCAGCAATAGCATCCCACGCAAGCGGCTCCATAGCTCTTGCTTACTTCATATTTGATGTATGGGATTGTGATCTCTACTGGTGGGTCTTCTCGTTCTGCAGCTGCACACCTGCATTGTTGGAGATTTCTACCGCCTTTGCTGTGATCGTTCTCAAAAAAGGCTTGTAATCAGGGAGAGTTCATCGTTTTGAAACTGGTTTCTATTTTCCCTGTTCTGATCGTCTGATTTCTAGGCGTGTCCACCTCCATTCTCGGCCCACTTGCAAACCCAGCCGGGCTGAGCCATGATGTAGTTTCCATGTGAGATGCAGCATAGATCAAAGCAATGTACTAGATGCTAAGCATTTCCAGAAAAGTTGGCTATAACACACGAGATATGCCGAAACCCACTGTGCTTATATAACCAATGTGCCCCCACATGGTACATGTGTAAACCAGTATTACATGTCCACATGTGTTAACATGTAATAAAGGCAAATATAGATTAGTGTGTAGGAGCCCTGGTGGTATTTGTATCTGTAGAGTCCGTATTGTGCAGTGGTACCATGCAGCCTAAAAATTTCATTTTTTTTACGAGAGCTCTTTCTTGATTTTGTATGAAAAAAAGAGCTCTCGTAATATTTTTACGGGAGCTATTTTAGGCTTGACCAGAGCTACTTTTTCATTGCATGATTTTGTTAAAATTTTCATAATTTTGATGCTCTGACTCTGATAATGTCTCAGAAGCCAGAAATGGTGTCTAATTATCGTAAAGGTGTTTCCCAAACGAAAGTCAAGATTATGCTTTGGCGAAATCGACGAGGTCAACAATCATTCATAATGGTGACAAAATCACAGAGGCCGGGTTTGCATGTTGCTGTATGCATGTTGGTTACAAAGTATGACTGCATGCACTGATTGTATGTCTTATTCGCATTGTTTTTTTCATTCAAATCTTGTCGCAGCAAGGCAGCTTATGTCTGTGCAAAACAATGCAAGGGACGGGTGGAAACAGAAAAATCTCATTATGTGTAGCCATTCAATAAAAAAAACTTGCTTGCCCGAACAGGCAAGTGCAATTTCAAGCTACTTGTCCGGGGGCGAATTTTGGTTGGCCCAGGCCATCGGGCAAGTGGGTTTGTCGAGCCCGGCACCGCAGGGTTCGAATTTCGGCTGAAAATCTAGTGGACAGCAGTCTTTAGAAAGTTGGTGGACCTGCACAAAAATTTGGTGGTCCGCTTATTTACTAGCAGTGAGTAACAAAATAGTATATAAAGATAACCATTGGCATTAAAACAGCATACATGTAACTTAATTAGAGTTGGTCAAATAATGTTTCAATCTCTAGGTATGTCGGGGGAGCTTCTGGGTAAGGTTTTACTTTCGTTTTTCTCCTCCCCAGTCCACGGTACCCCCATGCATAGATCAATGCTGCCGCACATCCGCAAAGTTACAAGTGCCTAGAATCTTCAAGTATATATAAAGTTCACATATTGCTTCTAGATATCTAACTGAATAAAAACGGTCCACTTTCTACGTTAAGAAAAGTGACGAATTCAGTTAACAGCTTTGATTACGTGCGTGTCAGGTGTCACTGGTCGTGCCCTCACTCCCCACGATAACCCCTGCGATATATAACTTATTGTTATGCGCTCCTAAAAACACTGGCCTGGACTACATGCCGGCGATGCCACAATCGATTTCTTAGACAGTCGCGAGTTTTTGTTCGTGTGGCGAATCATGCGTTGAGGGAGTTCATGCAGCTCTAGATGTTTTGGATACCCCGTCTACGTTGAGGAACGGGTCGTATTATGCACTCCCGTTTACAAGTCTGTCTAAACTGCCGTTGCGATAACCGTAGTATTTAAGCGTAATATGAGGGGAAAAAGTGCCGGTCAGGAGGACCGGCAGTTTCGTAGAGATGGTGGCCCGAGCAAAAACTTGATGGGCTCGGTACTCCGGGTCGGAACTAATTACGAACGCTGCCGGCAGCACGGGAGCGATTTATTCTCATCTTCCAAAATTTTCGCTCTCGTAATTGTTGTTACCAGAGCGCTTTGAAAGCTGACGGGGGCGAAATCGTTCGCCGCTCCCGTGTATTTTTTTCGCTGAGTGGTACTCATTTACTTTCCCATTTGGTTTGGTTGTAAAGCTTGCTGGTCTGATTGAGGACACATGAAAGATATTGTTTATTTTATTTGGTTGCCATTAGATGGCAGCACAATTTTATTGTCTTAAAAAGGGCACTTTGTGTGAATGTTATTATGTGAGTGTTATTACAATACTGTGTGCAAGCTTAGTATTAGTATTATAAGCCCATTATTTTGTACACATGAATATGTACATATGATTATGTACATCTTATATTTTGATATGGACATATTTTAACATATTTACAGGAGTACATGATATCTAATATTTGATATTATGTTCACCTGGAATTTCTGCTATTGCTGTGCAACAAGATATTTTTGTCTTGTTTAAACAGGGCCATGTGATGTCTTGTATTTAAAATAAATCTTCAGTGAGTTTTCATAACTCAGTATTTTCTACATTTTTTAACATGTAACAATGCAACATAAGAAGTTTCTTGCTCACTTTGCATAATTTAATGACAATAAAACACTGTAAAATACAAACACTTAAACCTTCAATATTGGCACTGTGGTGGAAACACTCCCAACCACGAAAAAATAAATAAAATACAGGTACACAAGGACATCGTTCCTTGTCACACGAGCCTTTTCAGCTTCATGTAGTAAATTTTTATCCTATAATTTCTTTGGGTCTCTGCCTACATTCTTCCTGAAAGCTCAAGACGATACTTGAAGAATTACAATAATATGGTTACTTCCGCACTGACGATGCGCATTCTATACGCCGTGTACGTGCCCGCGAGTTTTGTCGCGACGATAAAATCAGAAGTTGTATTTCTTTAATTTGCTTTGCCGCTGGTTGTGGCTCGCACCGCTGAGTTTAATCGAGCGCATCGCCATCGCGCGATTGAAGTGCCGCTGCGTCTTGAGGATGTCACCGTACTCGACGCCGCTCTCGATCGACGACAGCAGCCCCACCAGCACGGCCATCACCAGGAAGGCGATGATGAGCAGCGTGTAGATGGTCACCGTCGACTCGGGAACGGTCTCCATCTTGCGCAGGTGCTCCTCGGCGGGCAGGAAGCTCGGGTTGAGCTCGAGCGCGTGCCGAAAGTGGATGCGCGCCTCCTGGTCGTGACCGTACGCCTTGAGGATCTCGCCGAGCGTGAAGTGCTGCAGCCAGTTCTGCTCAGGCGACTGCTTCTCGAGCGAGCGTAGGATCAGGTACTTGGCGTCGTCCAGGTACTGCAGATTGAAGAGCACGCGCGCGAGGTTCAGCAGCACGTCCGGGTGGTCGGGCTGGACGGCGAGCGACCGCCGGAAGCACTCTATCGACTCGTGTGTGTCGCCCTTGATGCGCCAGTAGTTGCCGATCTGGTTGTACACCTCGGCGTTCTTCGGTTTCTGCAATCGTGAAAGATTTATGCCATCAGATCGAAGCAAACTCCTCGATTAAGAAGTCGATTAAGGTCTCAGACCTTAAGATTACTTCCTCGGATCTAACACAACTGCTCAAAGACCCTAGGTGGAGTTTCTCAAAGTAAACCACATATGGATATCATATATGGAGGTACCTTCTGACGCATAATTCGATTTTCTTAATGCAGGATATTAGTCGACAATAAAATGAAAGTAGAACATACATCTTTTTTAGCACGCCGAAGCTTCTTCTCAAGCTGCGTGAGATCTAGATCGACGTTTTTGTTTCCCTTTCTGCGGAACATGAGGGCCACCTCCGGCTCCGGTACAGGCGGATGCTGCTTGCGGTTGGCCACACCCATCAGGTTGTCGAACTTCGTGTAGTTTACATATGGATTACAGTCGACAGACCGGTCCACTACTTTTCGTGGATTGCCATTTTTCTCAGCTTTCACCATACTGCAGAAAGACATACACCACAAGTTGTCACAAGGATAACTGAAATAATTGAGACATTTACATATTGCCAATTGTATTCTGAAATAGTTTCCTATACGTTGTATTGACTGCCACAACTTCTAATGACTGAAATTTTCACAGAGCTTCCTGAATCACATAACAGCTACATTTGTGCTGTGCAGTGTGTTTGATAATTAACCTTACAACTGAAGCTACTACAACGTGAAAGGTGTAGGGGCCTCGTGTACATTGTCAGCAACTTAAAGTTACGGCAAATATTAACCCACTGCAAGACATTCTACGCGGTATTACAAGATATGATAGGCGTACATCATCAAAATATCAATGAAAGCGTCAATGACACTATAGCTCACCTTGGGTGTGATAGAAGAGGGAGATGATATTTAAAATTTGGTAAGTGTTTCATTTATGACGGACCGAAATGTGATCAAATGTCCTTATTCCCGGTTTTATACTAATAGAAATGTTACTGTTTTGTTTCCAGCGGTTAGTTTTGAATGCGAAAATAAAATGTTTCAGATGTGAAAGTCTGAAAATCTGGGCGAGAGATGACGCTACACCTAAATGATCGCCATTTTGGTTTTCGCTTATTGCGCAAATAAAAGTAAAATATTCCAGTTAAATACTGTAACAAGAATCTAAACACAATATTACACGTAGGTATGAATAGGTAGGTAGGTAGGTGGGTAGGTAAATTTAACAAAATCGAATGAATCTAGATGGCCATTTCCATTTTTGCCAAAAAGTGGGCGTGGCTCGAAAGTAGGTCGACTGGCATGCTCCAAAATAGGACGTTCACAATCTCTCCATAGGAGTAACAACTGTATGCAATTTGAAACAATGTAGCGTCAAACGTTCTTGAGTTTATATGTAGACGTAGGCAGAACGGAAATGCATAGTGAAAATTACCAAAATAGCCTAAATCTGCCATAATTTAAAAAATATCAAAAAAAAAACATCCTGTGATGATGTTTGGCGACCAGTCGTTATTCATCACATACCAAAAATTAGCAAATGCTTGAACCTAGAACTGACTTATGGCCATTTCTATTGTGCAAACAGTCGGCGCTGCTCGAAGTAGCGTCAACGTGCGTGCTCAAAATAGGACGTTCAATCTTCTCCCATAGGAGTAACAACTGTATGCATTTGAAACATGTAGCTCAACGGTTCTTGAGTTATTGTGACCGTAGGCAGGACACCGAAAAATGCATAGTGAAATTACCAAAATATACCTAATCTGCATAATTTAAAAAAAATATCAAAATCCCTGTGATATGTTTTGGGGCCAGTCGTTATTCATTCACATACCAAAAATTAGCAAAATGCTTTGAACCTGAACTGACTTATGGCCATTTCTATTTTTGCCAAACAGTGGGCGTGGCTCGAAAGTAGGTCAACTGGCGTGCCTCAAAATAGGACGTTCAAATCTCTCCCATAGGAGTAACAACTGTATGCAATTTGAAACATGTAGCTCAAACGGTTCTTGAGTTATCGTTGATCGTAGCCAAATGTTGATGGATGGACGGACGTACGACGGACAACGCCCCATGGCAATAGCACATCTTGACAATTTCAAGGTGAGCTAAAAACATAATCGACACTTGTAAATGCTTGTTATGGTACATGATTGGAAGAAGAGTAGTTTTTCTGACGTGTTTTCCATGAAAACTAGGTTTTACAAATTTAAATTGTGCATGACTACAGGGACTGAAAATAGTGGGTTTTGCCCGCAATATTTTTGGAAGGTCCAATGAAAGATTTGAAATGTCCGAATACATAATGTTTCTTTGGCTAATACATCGTTTGGTAACAGTGGGTCAATTTTTAGCTCACCTTGACATCGTCAAGATGAGCTATTGCCATGGGGCGTTGTCCGTCGTACGTCCGTCCGTCCGTCAACATTTGGCTACGGTCAACGATAACTTGAGAACCGTTTGACCCACGTTTCAAATTGCAGACAGTTGTTACTCCTATGGGAGAAATGTGAACGTCCTATTTTGAAGCATGCCAGTTGACCTACTTTCGAGCCACACCCACTTTTTGGCAAAAATGGAAATGGCCATAAGTCAGTTCAGGTTCAACGGATTTTGCTAATTTTTGGTATGTGAATGAATAAGGACTGGCCCCAAAACATATCACAGGGGTTTTGATATTTTTTTTAAATTATGCAAATGAGGTAGATTTTGGCAATTTCACTATGCATTTCAGTGTCTGCCTACGGTCAACGATAACTCAAGAACCGTTTGAGCTACATGTTTCAAATTGCATACAGTTGTTACTCCTATGGGAGAGATTTGAACGTCTTATTTTGGAGCACGCCAGTGGACCTACTTTCGAGCCACACCCACTTTTTGGCAAAAATGGAAATGGCCATAAGTCAGTTCAGGTTCAATGGATTTTGGTCATTTTTGGTATGTGAATGAATTAGGACTGGCCCCAAAACATATAACACGGGTTTTGATATTTTTTTTAAATTAAGCAAATTAGGTAGATTTTGGCAATTTCACTATGCATTTCCGTGTCTGCCTACGGTCAACGATAACTCAAGAACCGTTTGACCCACATGTTTCAAATTGCATACAGTTGTTACTCCTATGGGAGAGATTTGCACGTCCTATTTTGGAGCACGCCAGTCGACCTACTTTCGAGCCACGCCCACTTTTTGGCAAAAATGAAAATGGCCATCTAGATTCATTCGATTTTGTTAAATTTACCTACCTACCTACCTACCTACGTGTAATATTGTTTTAGATTCTTCGTTACAGTAAATTGACAGTAAACTGTAAACAGAAAACTTTTATTGCTTTTATTTGCGCGATAATCGAAAACCGTATATATGGTATATATGGTGAGCTATAGTGTCATTGACACTTTCATTTGATACAAAACCATGCGTCGTCTGCAGGCATTCCGAGTTACTCGCACGAGCGACGAGTTTATGCTGAAACTGTGCGTGCATCCGCGTTAACTTCCGTTATAAACAACCATGCTACTAGCGTTGCAGCATATGCCCTATCAGTAGTGTTGTCAATCGGTTGTAATTTCGTAATCGATCATCAGTTGGACCCAAGTAACCGATGATCGGTTACAATCGGTTACTCGGGGTGTTGAATGCCTGCGTGTGCGTAACGTCGTGTGCATGTACGTGCTTGTTTAGCCCTGTTTACTGTTTGTTTTTCATTGTTTA